GGCCGACTGGCAGCCATCTTGTTTTTTGAAAATGTTGTATTTTGGACGTGCTCTGTCAGTTTTCATTCAAATTTGGCACATCATGTACTTTATACATGTTAGGATGCATGTCCATGACAATTTGTTTCAAAGGATGGCCGATTGACAGCCATCTGACTTTTTGGCCTTACTACTATATTTACACAATTTATGTACCATTTTCATTCGTATTTGGCACATACATCATACATATCAGTGTGTTTCATAATCAGATCAAAGATGGCTGAATAACGGCTGTTTTTATTTTGGCCATATTACTATGACACAAAACACGTGTTTTGATGTAAATAAACAATCTGTTGTATACGCCATTTGGAACTCAAGTTTCAAGGATACGCTCGCGACAACCCCTCCGCTTTAATATGACAAGCACAAAGAGAACTTAACAAGGACTGTGTCATTTTCAATGACTTGTTGATTTATTATTTGCCCGTAGAATCAAAAAGGAACTAACTCATTTATTGTCGATTCTGATGCGATGGTCGAGATTGATCAAGGATTCCCCACGTCACCGATGTTGTAGCTTTGAATACTGTTTGTTTTAATTTTGATTCATGATTTACAGCATCATCGCACATTTACGTAATTTTTTCTCCCGGATCAACTATATGTTGTATGTGACCATGAGTTCAAAAGATTACTATCGAATACACTAAGCAGAACGGTTGAATTGCTAACTGAATCACAGTCCCTGTTGAAGAACTGTGACTGAATACACCTGCAAATACATACAGCGCCCTCGCCTAAATATAAAACACAATTGTTGTTGTTGTTGTTGTTGTTGTTGTTTTGCCAAAATGTTCTGTTTGTTTTTGACATATGTTTAAATGCAACGCTGCATTCGCGTCGTTGTTATGCAACAGAACATCAATACAATTAGGGATTGTTCGGGTCGTTTGATTAAACATATATACACGATATATATTTCTTTTCAACAATGCAATGACTCAGCCTGGCTAATTCTACTCGACACACTACAAGTCAGACGTGTAAAAGCTTTATAATTAGTGGTATTAACCCATATTAACCTTTCCTCCAGGCTAGCATATACTGGGTGGTTACTATGTCTCGTGCTGATGGAATATGTAATTGACATATCAATATTACGTCCTCAGTACCTAGGCCACGAATTTATAAAAAAGAAATCTACATTTACTACATACCAGAACTAGTGTAGGGACAACCTGGTGTGCATATATGTATTTGTTGTGCATTAACAGTCGTGGTTTCACTTCAATCAAGAACTACGACTAGTAATTTTGAATGTTATTCGCATATTCAGATGGATGATTTCTTTGTATTTCTTATTGTATTTTCATGTTTTCTTCTTGTAACACAGTAAATTGATAACAGTCGATACTGAAAAGTAGGATTTGTATCCTAAAGTTAAGCGTATTAAACAATACATTCACTATACATCTGTCCGAAAGTAAGTCGTGTAATGACATACTGGACTTCTCGCTCATTGAACGATTGTCCGTATGATGAATATCTGTAAACAAATTAACAGATGATACAACAGACTGTGTGACGTCATCGCTGGTACTTAAAGTTCGACCGTGGGTAACCTCGCGTACTTCCTCCAGACTTTGACTGGTAATGAGTGTCCATACTAATAGAGTGACCCTGAAATCTGGTGAGCAGATTCACGTACTACCATGGCCGAACTTTATATTCAACATGAAAGTCGGAAGTTCAAGGGAAAAAATAGATAATTGATGCTTCATCATGAAAACTCCAGTCTTTGTTATCATTCACTTGAAAGTCCAATATGCTGTATTAGTTCTCCACACACCAAGACTTGGCATTCATTGAAAACTTCAGGTAGCGGATTTCATACACTCACAATAGCCAGTCCTGGCTTTCAGTTATTATATCATGCTTGTTAATTTCCTACTATTTCGCGAGATCTTTCGACATTTTAAAGTCAAATGTCAAGGTCACCTTATGAGTTTATGTATAGTTTGTCTATAATTACAGAGGGAAACATAGCCAGGGCCTTCGGAATTCAATAACTCCCGCTGTATTTTTCGGTGTCCTCGTAATAACCTCATAATATTACTCAAAATGACGGTAATAACAATACCAATATCTATGGCAATACACATTCAAGGTCAAGTACACTGGATTAAAAAACTCTGACACGAAACAATAAACATAAATCATAGTGGACACACAGTGCCAATGAGGGCGTATTACACGAAATATTGATGTACGTTTATATAAAATGCACAATGATAAATGTCAATTGATTCTACTTTCTAATTGATGCTGAATGTGACACGAATCAAGGACTGGTGGATATCTGGAACAGGAAACGAGACATTTCGACTAAAACCAACGTGATGCAGGTGGTCGGACTTTTCTACGCAGGATAATATTAAGTTTAGTTGAAATCTCAACAAGTCAGCTTAATAAATCGAGTCGCCATACTGGAAACAGTTAATACTGGCATACAGGACTCAAAATGTCAACGATTTTTCTCACAGGGGCTTGATTCAACACAACGGCAACAGCAGACTGCAATGTCTACCCGCCAATCCACACAACCACAACTTTCGAAAACACTTCTGCCAGTCATTAAATTCCCGTGCAAATACAATTTCGACTGCCACTGGAATACAACAACATCCATAATCAATTTCACTTAGAAATAAATACAGTCAATTTAACAGGGGAATTGACCCTCCCAGACAGACAAAATTAATTCGACTATTACACGTCAAACCGCCATACTGACTGACCTGAGACACGCAGACTTATTAATAAACAAAGTCATTCTAACAACATACTATAGATGGCGCTCTCACTATCAGTTTGGCTTTTAAAAGCAAGCTGCTAAATGCTACACGGCAACTGTCCAATTACACACAAGCCATCGCGGTATTCGGGGTGCGCCCTCTAGGGACCGTGTAAACATCCATTACCTGCTATACTGCATACCGAAGGTAATGTCATATTTTACTTCTATATTGTTGTATACTGATGCCCATTTTATAAAACTGCAGGTGCGTACTCACTGACACTTTATAGTTATAATGCACTGGATGAATTATTGATATCGTCCACACTTAATGAGAAATAACTGGAGAGTTGCATCCGAAGTTAGCGACTTGTTGCACCGTTGTTTACCCACGATTTTCGCATCGTTTCAGAACAGATGGTTGAAATTGTAGAACAAACCACTTCTTGTATACTAATAAATATGCAATCGTTTCAACAAGATTTTATTTTTAATCCTGACAAAAGTTTAATGATGTCAACCTGGCAATTATTTTCAAAATATAGTGAGAGCAAAATTTCTTTATAACCATGTTTATTGTTCTAAATAATACTATTATATTCTTACAGCGATTATCTGCATTTCAATTAGTTTTGTTGTTGTTTACCTCAGACACCGTAGACTGTTTCCATAGGCTGTTCCCATCATACATTCAGGTAGTATTTTGCCACCAACTGAAGAAAGAATAACTTTTAGAAGGCGAGAGAACACAGGAATGTAGTTATTTGTTAGCTGTAACGTATGGAAAATCGTCCCAATCGACATAATTAAAAAATACAGACGGTATTTGACGTTGTACACCAGTAGACAATTTAGTTCGTTTACTCATCTCGTTTAATGATACATACCGTTGTCAAATTAATCAAGAGACTCGGAAGGCTTGGCTATTTTAAACTTCGTGAATAGCATAACAAGTGCAGACTTTATTCAAGTGTAATTAACGTAAGTGGGATGTATTAACGAGTTATAATACTCATACCATCGAAAGTTACGACTTTTACTCTCGAAATCGGTGATAAATACATGCATTAAATACAAGCATATACCATTTTTCTCACAGCAACAATATTGGATTTATGGAACCTTATTTTAATGAAACAATTTTGTCCAATGATATTATTATATATTTCAATGCTAGCGATGATCGTAACCTAGTGGATTTAAAAACAGTTTACACCATATATTAAAATATTACATTAATTGTCATCCACTACAATCGTCCACCACATTCACACCTAAATAAAAACAATTTTTGACTTAATTCGCTATTTATTACAGTTACCGGATATAGTCAAAAGCATTCTTTCAAGTTTCACAATAAATGCATTAAATTGAATCTAGTTTGAACTGCATATACAAAACTTGCTGAACAAGGTAATTTGGGCCGTTTTTTCCTTTGTTTTTATCAAAAAAATGATGATGTCTACATGTATTACAGTAATTTTATTTTTCAATTGTTTAAAGGTATTGTAGCTAACAGCAATATAAAATGATTGACAATTGACAAAAATTCTATATTGGTTTAGCAAACGAGTATGTAAACAGAGGCGGTGGCGGCACGGGGAGGGGGCGAGATCTGCTCACCATCCCTCGCGACCTAACATAACTAGACCCTCTGAAACGCAATTTTCTGCATTTTGAGGGGCAAACTTTGCTGATACACGAGGGTTTCAGCTTGATTTGCGACGCCCCGCCCGGTGCCGCCGCCACTGGTAAAGGTATTGTGTTAGTAGTTTTTGTTTTCAAATTGAACGATTTATTCCTTGTTTATTTAGCTGACAAGATTATCTTGAATATGTACGGAGGGAAAATGAGTATAATTGGTATAATAACGCATGTATAAAGTTAGCCCTATTCAAGATGCCGAATTTGAAAACACGAGACCCGATCATAAATTTATTTATCAAATTACTGATTTCGAGACACATGAATGGTGGGTTACCTGTCTATTAGAAGCGATAACAATTTCGGTTTCAATCATTTGCAGTCATTTTGTTTATTTTAGTTCTTGCTCTATCAAATGGGCGCTCTAAGATACAATTTAAACCTTGAACTCTTAACAGTATCAACAATCTGGACAGTGACCTTGGACACGTGTTTCAAAGGTCAGATTTCCTGTGTGCACAGGCCCACAAATAACGCCGAGTCATTGTGACCTGACAACAAACTGGAGCGATATAAAGTGCACGCAGCACGGCATAATACGGTTGTCATTTAATTTATAGGTCCCACTGCAATATTAGTAGAAAATGGAATCGTTAACTGTAACTTTGAACAATGGACTAAAAATGCCAAAAGTTGGACTCGGAACATGGAAGGTCAGTTTTAATATTCTCTTCTTACGTAGTTGCGTTTAAATACATTTAGCAATACAGTTAGTAATTGTGTATATGAGAGATTAGCAAACAGTTACATAGTATTTGTAAATGTACAGTCTTCACGATTTGTCCTGTGCAAGTTATTCTTCATTTTAGTCAAAAACATCGAATATTGTAATACAGTAATATAGCCGATCGATTAGCGCATTACGCCTATTTCCACGTGATAGTATTAATCGAAATGGTAGTATTGGTACGAAATAATAACTTAAAATAACAAGTTCGCTATAAAACGTTGTCCTCCAGACAGTTTATGAAATATGCACAACCAGAGAGACACGAACGACACGAAAGACATGCGACACAAAATGTGCGTAAATTACGGTTATAACAGGGCATAGCGTTTGTAGGCACTCCCCACAACTAGAGACAATGGGAACAAAGTCACTCTTACCCAGTTTTCTCCCAATCTAAAGTACATTTTGCGCCATTCATTTACCCCAAAACATAATAATTCCCCATGTTAAAATCTAATGACAGTGAAATTTAGATTATCTAAATAATTAATATAATGTTTCATCAGTCATCACCAGAGGCGGTGAGAGAGGCAGTTAAGTCGGCCATTGGAGCGGGATATCGTCATATAGACACTGCATCAGTCTACGGCAACGAGAAAGAGATTGGAAATGCATTAAAAGAAGTGTTGAACGAAGGGAAAGTTAAAAGAGAAGAACTTTTCATCACTACAAAGGTCAGAGGTCGCTAAAATGTGAAATATGGATGACGTATATATGCTTGTCGGAAGGATTCACAATATTAAAGCGCGGTGGTCGTCGCGCAGCGCGTGTTCGAATTTCATGTAAACAAAAAATGTATTTTACACGCGTTTTGTACGACGCCCTGAGCCCCGTGTCGAGCTGGACTCGGCGCGACGACCACGTCAATTTAATATTTCACTTATTCATACACAGTGGATAGACATGAGTAAGTTTGCTTAGTTTGTTTTCATGTTACCAGATTGCACATGTCTTACTTCGTACGTAATTGTTCTAGTACACATATGTATAATTTAATAGGCGGTGGTCGTCGCGAAGCGCGTGTTTGAATTTCATGTGAGCAGACTATGTATTTAGTTTACACGCGTTGTATACGTCGCTATGAGTCCCGCATCGGACTGGACGCGACGACCACCGCTCTCATGTTCATGAAACATATTCGTATAATCACTAACCCGAAATAATCAACCAATATTAACACAGTTTATCACACATATTGTTTCATAACGTTTGCTTATCTTCCAGCTAGCACAATCACAAATGGATCCAGAAGCCCTTCGTCGGAATTTTGAGGCATCGTACACGAATCTTCAGTTGGATTATATAGATTTATATCTGATTCATAATCCCATTGGATTAAAGGTAAGTCTGTATGTGCATGGACAACGTATTTATAGCATGATAGTCTACTGGTTGCTACCGTCATAGATATATACAACACAAACTGGGTGGTTGGTTGGTGTTTTTATCTGCGGATTTACAAAAAGAATTTAAAATATTATTCATGAATGGACTATGCGATAGTCAGATTAAGAACTTACATGGTTCACCTCGATTTATACATTACTACTTGTTTTATAGGCTTCAGTGAACGATGCTGTCGCTACTGGTAAATACGCACCTGATGGTGTGGATTATGTTGATACGTGGAAGGTAAGTCACTCACTCTGTTTATAGTTTCAAAGTAAATAGAACAGGGCACCTGACCTGCTCTTGACTTGATACATTACAATTGTGTAACTAATTGCTAATTGGCAAGTATTCTAATTTCTTCGCTTGTATTGGAGGTACGGTACTCGCGATCGTTCAAACAATATTCATTAACTATCTTTGAAAACTTTATTGGTCAAAATCTCTGATTAATAAAACACGTAGAAACTCTATCTATTGATTACGTAATTAGCCACATATTTGTTCTAATTATGCCATCACAAATGATTTTAAATTTAGAAAGAGGTTCAAGGGCAAAGTTTAGTTTGAAAGTTGAAGTGAAATAGATAGCTGTCAGAATAATGTCGGCAATAATTTCATGTAGTACAATAGACAAGGGCTAGATATACATGTATAAAAATTCCCATAATTTTGTTCACGTAACAGTCACGTGATATTACTGATCTGTAGTTTGCTTTTGTAGTAGTTTGCGTATGGCAATTCGCATCATTTTGTTTACGTAACGGTCACGTGATCATACTGATCTCTAGTTTGTTTTTGTAGTAGTTTGCGTAATATACAACCCATATAAGTACAACTAATATATGATATTGACATTACTTTAAGAGGAATTACATCACGTCCTTTCTAGGTAACAATAGGGGCATAGCAACAGGTGGATGATTATGCAGTACATTGTACTTATAGAAAAATGTAATACGAAGCAAAACTCATAAAATTTCGGATATTGAATCTAGCTTTGAGTATATTATATTGTTTTGCGTAATATCTATATAATTGAATGCTCTATATTTGTATAAATATATCTGGCATGTTTCACTTTGACATACCAATTAAAAATAATTGTAATTATTGAAAGGATGACTCGTTGGAAATGCATATAAGTGAATGTAACGTAGGGAAAGTATAAATAACGGTGTAACCAAGTTGTAACTCTCCAATGTAAAAGATGCCGAATTTTAGTGGCATATGCGAGTTGTTTATTTAATATTATCACTATCATTCTTTGTATAATAAAGTATAACTGTTTCTAGTGTTTTAAATATATTACTAAAAACAAATTATGCACGCATGTTTAACTACATAACACCACGATTGTTTTCATCAATTGTTTTGCAGATATTAGAAACATTTGTAGACGAAGGCCGCGTCAAATCTATTGGTGTATCAAATTTCAACGACAAACAAATTGAAAGAATATTAAAAGTCGCGAAGTATAAACCAGTGGTTAATCAGGTGAGAATGATGAAATAATTTAAATAATGGTTAGAAGTATATAAAGTAGCTAGTGGTACTGTGTAGTGATTGTTGTTAAGAGTAAAGACGTTCCGAGTGAATATCGACTCAAACTGTGCTGGTTGTACATTTTAAGGATAACGGTGTTATATAATTGTTGATATCTTTTTAGTAGAACAGAATGTAAATTACTGTGTTTTAGTTGGATTATTTGGTTATTTGTTATTCAGTCACAGATGGGTATATAGATTTGCTAAGAATATACTATAGTGGGGGGAGGTGGCGGTGAACATGCCAAAGCATATAGTTTCATGTGTAAGCACATCATATGCATGTGTACTATTTGATTAACAATAGTGGTTAATTATCATAAATGGCAACATTTATTATTCATTAACGAATACGATTGAGAGGGATCCTTGGTTAAGGTTTGCAGGTTCTTGTATTTGATCGGGCCAGGTTGGCCACAGGAGGGCGCATTAAATTGCCATTTGATAGACAGATGGCGCATAGCACTATTATATCGCGAGTATGGCTTCTGCGGTATAATTGACGCTATGTATCGTTACTAGCACTTGCGATGTGCAAATAAAAAAATCGGGAGAAACGACAGTGACATTCAATGTCCGGAAATGTCGCCTGGCACAAAAAATTCCAAAAGAAATCAGTTCAACCAATTAATTACTCATGATTTACCATAATGAAGACACGCTCAGTTCTTTCTCTATGTGTCTGGTTGTTGGGTATGACGATAGAATGATGGGTAGATAAATACTTAGGATGCAATGGCGACCAGCATCTCGATAAGATAGCTACGGCAATGACTCGCTTGGATGAGCTACATAATTACTGTAACTGAATCCCTGTAACTGATCCAGCACTGTCGTAAAGCATAGTGGTTACTATGACAACGGTCAACTTTTTACCTCTTTTGCAAAAAAACATTATAATAACACAAAGCATATGGAATGACGTGATTAGGATTGCCGTGGCCGAATCAATAACTAATCTGTCACGCGACTAATAGAATATACATTGTATCATAGACAGAGCAAAAACTTTATTCCAAATGTCGGTTCCATCACTCCACCTCAAATAGTCCCTTATCAATATTCAGCTATATCAATATCATAGCCATACATGGAATGCTCCAGGAAAGCAAGCCTACATCCACCTCGTAAACCAACCCATACGTAAGCATGGACATTGATTGAGCAGCAGATAAACAAAATTCATCAATGTTATCAAATGTATCAACTTTACAAGTATATTTCAAACACAGGGAATCTCTTATTCCGTTACTTTATTTGGGTTAAATTGTTACACAATTACATTTGCAACATTTAAGAAATGTATATATTATTGATTAAACGTAAATTTATTGCTATTTTATTTCAGATTGAGCTCAATCCGTATTTTACAAGAACTAAGTTGGTTGATCGATGTCAGGCGAATGGTATTGTAATTATTGCTTACAGTTCATTTGGTTCTTTAGACCGACCTTGGTAAGCCTATAACACTTGTAGGAACGAATGCTAGTATCCCACGTTCTCCCACATATTGTAATTCAAGCCGAGACCCTCAGGGTGTTTCACAAACGTTTATCCAACGTGTTGTACTTAGTTGCTGTAATATTATAATAAATACAACTTATTAGGTTTTGTCAAGCATTCCGACACATCTTCTAGTTCTTGACATTATAAGATGTGTTTGTGTGAGGCAAAAGTGCAACGTTCTTGATAAATTAAATTTCAGAAAAGGGTTCAGAGACACTTGAAGTAACATAAGCCTAGTGTACACGGCTTACAAAATAAACCAGCTGCAACCAATGTATGTATATATAATTGTGATACATAACATATTTACAGGGCAAAGGAAGGAGACGCAAATCTACTGAAGGATCCAACTGTATTGTCGCTGGCTGAAAAACACAATAAGTCATCGGCGCAGGTGTTACTTAGATTCGCCATTGACCGTGGTTGTTTAGTGATACCCAAAAGTGTGACTCCAAAGCGGATACAAGATAATATTGAGGTATGTTCGACCATATAATCAATTTAGTCACTTTATTATGGGAATAATGTTTAAAGAAATCATAAACCTTATTTAAATATTTTCAATACACACAGTACCAGTTAGGTTCACCTCGAACATTTATATATATAGTTTAGTGGGGCATTATTGTTCCGGATGTACAATTCCAATATTTGACCTATAAAGATGTTATATTTTTTCTATTCGCCACACACACTAATATATCTCAAACTTTATGTTTTT